TTACAATATAGTATGTTCTCTATCATTAAAAAGTGATATTAATAAAAAACTATGTCATAGTTTAATATGTCGTAAAATAAATGAGTTGTACAGTTTGCCTTACTTTTAAAATGTCTTACATAAAATAAAGATACAATAAAGGTCCTATCAGAGTGTAGACATTATATACTGTATATATATTATAAATGTTAAATATAATAATATCATATAATAATACAACAATCTTATACACATCATATGGCTTAAAATTGTAATAAAACAATTCATAGAATAGAAAAAAAATTCTAAAACAAACAGAAAAAAATATAATGGTACGATGAAAAAGTCATATTATAGTATGCACCAAAAACCTAAAGTTTCTTATTAAAGTTTTCTATAAAAAAAATCATAAAGGAATTCTAATTCAAAATGACATTATAATATTTCATTAAAAAGTTACAATATAGTATGTTCTCTATATTAATAAAAAACGTAATCCCTGAAAAAGTTAAAAAATGTCATAGTTTAATATCTCTTAAAATAAACGAGTTGTACAGTTTGCCTTACTTTTAAAAATGTCTCACATAAAATAAAGATAAGATAAAGGTCCTATAAAAAAAGTCCTGCTTGTATAGTATTTCGTAAAAAAGTATCTGAGCATAGAATGCCATACGAATGTGTCATAAGTGTTATTATAATATTTAATTTAAAAAAAATCAGAATAAAGGAGGATACTGTCTGGGCTGTAACAAGCACCCTACAACGAGTTTATTAAGATTCATACAATTCCATTTTTGAAAATGTGCAGATTTGGGTGGAGTGAGGTGACTAAGTGTGGAAATTCTTCACATGAGAAAGGAAGAGGAAACGTTAGGGAAATGTTTTCCAGCAGGATAATTAAGCTGGCAATGTCAACTCTGGAACATTCACAATTCCACACAAAAACACACACGCACAAAGACAAACACACATTCACTTATTGGTGATCAGGTGAAGTTTGCCTAATCTCCTACCACTACTGCAGGCATCCACACACTGGCAATATGCATTAGTGTCAGCAGGAGAAATTCCACTGTCTAACAGTTACAGTTTATTTAGTCTTGATTCACAGACACTCTCCAGTCCAGTGTGTGAGTGTGTGTGTTTGTCGTCTGTGTGTCACCCCCGCTTCTTTTTCCCGATGCTGCCACTGTTCATTTGTCGGCCCCCAGGACTCTTTTGTGCAAATGGATCTACTGCCAACTATTCAGAAACAGTTCTGTTTGTGGCTGATAGTTCCCAGTTGTGCTGTGCATGCACCATTAACCAAAAGAACATTGAGTTTTTATTTGCCCCATTTCTCATTGTTGGTGTCCTCACTACTCCACCTACCTGCAGTGGGAGCATTAAGGCCCTGTGGAACGAGGGAGTGTGTTTAACTTAAGATCATTTGCATGCAAGTTGTCGGACGTACACACAACACACACACAGGGACTCAGACTGTGTGTCAAAGCTATTAGCATGTATTATTTAGCATAACTACAACCCATTTTTCCAGCACAAAGTACCAAGTTAGGAATATTTATGACTTAAATACAATTCATCATCATTTTATGTTGGCGTCTGCAAAACGGCAAACAATCGGCTTTATGAAAAGGAGATTAGACGCTGATGATTTTAATATCCCTCAAGGAAAACGTTGTCTTGAAGCTTTCTCATTGTCCTCCTCCCATCATATGCCGGCTTCTGGCTGACCAGACAGATGACACACCACGCTTTCTGCATCCCATAGTTCAAAGCAGCTTGTTATATCTACCAGTCTACAGAACGCCTATATCGATTATTTGCTTGAACTTCTAGCCTTAGACTGAATGTCTCCCTGTGTTTTCACTCGTTGTGCTGTTACATACGCATGGTTTTGCTCCTCGCTGTCTGTCAGTCCTCGCCTCTGCTTGTCTCTACGTCTCTGTCCTGTGAACCCCATTATTCATTGGTGTGTTTGTTCTCTCTCTTCTCCCCCTTTTTTGTCCTCTTTCTTCTCCCCCCCCCCCCCCCCCATCTGTGTACCTAGGCAGCCCCTTGAGTAACTTCTTTGACGTAATAAACCAACTTTTTTCAGACGAGAAGAACGGACAGGTGCCCTACCCTTCTGGCACGCCCACCAAGCACTGTCCCTCGCCCATGCACGTCCGGAGGCACGAGCCAGAAAGTAATGACACCAAAAGCCCCTCCGCGGGCCGAGACAGGGCCAAGTTGTCCGTGGCAACTGTGGGGTCACAGGAGGAGTCTTAGACCGAGCCTGTGCTAAGACCCCCTCCTCCGAAAATCTGTACATAGCTAGATGTACATAATCATATATGTTTTTGTATAAAATGACTTTATATAGATAGAAATATATGAAGAGAAATATTTTACGAACTGCACCTACATAACACACACACACACACACACACTTCTCATCACCCCTCAGCGTGCACCATCATCATCCACCCCCCCCAGCCATCTTATCTCTTTTGTTTTTTGCTGCTAACCTGTGTGATGACCCTGACTTGTTTCTGATACCAGGAATTATCCAGAAAACCTATTAAGCCCCTCCTCCGTCTCCCTCCTCCGTTTTCGCCTCACCTCCGCCCCACCTCCACCCCCACCCCCCCAGAGCGTGCCAAGAGAGAGACAGACAATTGTTGACGGAGGACTGCTTTTAGAGGTGCGCTGCAAAAAAGATGGGGGGGTGGTTACCATGGAAACATACCCTTCATCATGCAGACTTCTACCTTCAGCTCCCCTCTGCGCCCCTTCTCCACCTTTGGCAGCCATCAGTAGAAGTAGAGGAAAAATAGTGTTCCCCCATTTTAGGAACACACAACTAATCCACGCTAATCCACATGAAAGAGTAACGCACCCCCCCCCCC